ACTAAAATACTAAGGGACTTTGGATTATTTACCTAACCAGTTCCTTCCTATTTTCTATATATTTTCACACACACACACACACATATATATATATATATATATATATATATATATATATATATATATATATATATATCAGACATTTATTATTAAAAAAATAAAATGGTTCTGGATGATAACAATAAAATGCTATGGTAAACAATAGTAAATTAATTACCGATACTTTACCAACAGCAAGCCACCTGCTTCAATTATTTGCTTTTTATTATAAGTGACTTTATAGTGACTTTACTACCACCTTGTATGTATGTATATATATATATATATATATATATATATATATATATATATATATATTTCAATTATAGGTGTAATTATAATTTATAAATTCATGAATCATTCATGCAATAAAACAAATATAGAGGTTAATGATTTAAATGGGGAGAATACATCATCGCAAACAATATAAATAAGATACATCAACCCCTAACCTGTATATGAATGATATGATCCCTGTTTACAAATTGCAGTTGCATAAGGTCTTTTTTAGTTTTTACAAGCTTTCGTCTGTTCCTACAGACATCATCAGGTATGGAAATAGATTTTGTTCTAGTTTTTACTTCTCGGTAATAAGAGGACAACGAAACTAGAGATGTAATCCGAAAAATGCTATGAGAAATGTGTTATTGTTTTGGAACGCGCGGTCGCAACGCTGAGTTTGAATTTTAAATTTTAAAGTTGTGCGGTTTTGTACAAATATAGTGATAAGAGAATTCTTTTTTACTGGTAGATTTTCCGTGAATATGGCATGAACTATATTGTTCAATAATTACAGTAATGTCACACTTATTGTCCGAAAGTTTCACGTTGGATCAGTTATTTTAATTTCAAATTATAGGTGCAATTATAATTTATAAATTCATGAATCATTCATACAATAAAACAAATAGAGAGTTTAATTGAAAAAGGTATGAATCCTCTTGTCCTTCCAGCTATTGGTAGTTTACAAGACAGACTGGATTCTATAGCTTTGGATGGCAACTGGTCCAGAAGAAGGAAAACTTTGAATTCAAAACCCGTGGAAGGTTGTTTGAGGACCTTGTGGCACGTAGTGCACCAGGTCTCTGTATTCAGCCTTTTAAAAAGTCCTACAAAAAGCTTTCCCCACTATAATCAAATCATATGTGCCGATGTCGGGTTGTCAGTTCCTAGATACTGAGTTGCTGACGCTTATACGTTGAATACGACGGGAAAGTCCACTATATATAATATATCTCAATATGCCTGACTAATACAGCAATCAATCCCTGTTTAAGGCGCCTGCTCAGATACATGTGTGTTTATTCAACACCCACAGCGCTCAACTATGGTTTATACTGCAATTATTCTGAGCGTACACAGGTCACAGTTTCTGAGGCATATCGAATGCTCTGCAGTGAATAACAGTTGAAACAAAGACAGCGCGATCACAGCCTCGGTCACAATTGTTTGTGACTTCGCGCCAGCACAACCATTGACCAACAATTCCGCCTGCTTCCCTCAAAAGGCTTGGGTCAAGCCGTGGTATGGTTTTCTGATACTTTACAACGTTGCTGCATTGGATCTTATCAAGGAGCTCTAGGTCAATCACAAGGACACCGGACCATATTTGGCAGCAATATTCTAAGCATGAACCATTTTAACAGTAATCCTCTAACCTACAATCTTAACCCCCTTCAAGTCAAGGGTCAATCTTTATCTTTCCTCCTTATCCTCATAAACGTCACCTCCTACCACCTCGTATTTTAATCATCTCAAACGCGTTATTCATCATAACAATTTTAACAAGAACCACGTGGAGTGATTTTTAACAATATCGTTACACTCGTGTAGAGAGTTCAATCCCCACTTGATTCCGCTTTATTGTGTCACAGTAACAGTGTAAAGAAATTTAATATCACCAATATTCCTGCTTTTTTTTTTTTTAGAAACGAACAAACTAGTTTTTACAGGTAATTATCAGTATCGAAATGTTAGATTTAACAAATACAGATGGAAAGCCTTGATAGTATTTGCAGTCGGTACATATGGGCAGAGAGAATCCCCAGTCGAGGCTATGTCGAAGGGAAAAGTCTCGTCTCGGGAAACAGGTACCGGACACCGTTTTATACGGGGTCTACAGGGAATTTTTGGCCGAGCCTACGGGCTTGGATACCCCACATTAAATTCGGCCTTGTGCCATATTTGACCTCGTGAGGTTGTTGGTAGATATCCTGCAGTTGGAGATTCTTTGTGAAATTCACTTGACTCATTTCTAGCAGTTCACTACATCTTCTACGCGCCGCTGGCAAATCTTATATGTGTTGCTCTTGTCCTAAATATTATTGTTCATTACCAATCTTCGTCTGATTATTCTATTCACTAACCTTCCCTGGGTTGCAACAGTTAGGATGATATATTCGCCATTACAATTGGTTGCAAAGAAAATAAGAAATTACTTATATATTAATTACGGTGGTATCTTTATAAAAGGCAGGATGTGTGTGTGTGTGTGTGTGTGTGTGTGTGTGTGTGTGTGCGTGTGTGTGTGTGTGTGTGTGTCAGTGTATGTGTGTGTGTGTAACGAATGCACGGCCGCAATTTTCAACGGATTTGCACCAAAATTTACATGCACATGCTCCAAGTTAGCGGGAAGGCCAAGACCGACTTTGCATTTCCCAATTTCCATCGATAGTGGAAATAATCGATTTTTTCATGCTTCTACGGCAGTTTTCATGTAGTTTGCGGCCATTTTCTACTGGCCAGAGTGAGAGCCTATAGCTGGCTGCCACGAATAAGCAGGAAGATTGTATTGGCCAGCGTGAGAGCCAACAGCTGACTGACACGAATGTTAACTAGCATGCTAGCATGCAAAAAATCGATAGCTGCATTCGTCACAAGTGGGAAAAATTTAAATCTGCATGGCACTTTACTCCAATTGGCTCATTCGCTTGCTTAAATTCAACGTTGATTCTGATTCTGCAGAACTGGGTTGGGTGTGAAAAAGTATTTGTTGTTAACATTTTTTTTATCATTCGGTTTTTCCAGTTAGGAGTCCTTTTTTAAAGCTGATGGTTTTGTGTTCATTTTGTTTAGTTCTTTTTTCGTAACAGATTTAATGTTTAGTATAGAGCTTAGAAAAAATTCGCAGTGTGAGATAGGCAAGAAGTAAATAATGTAGCAACATCAGCACGGCAAAGGGCACTCCTTTAAAGGCAAGGAGGGGCAAAAATATTTTAAGTCAAGTGATAGCGATTTCTGTATGAGTCGTACGATTTTTGAATCAAGCACGGGCAACGCCGGGTCATGCTGCTAGATTCTCATAATTCTTACGACTCAGTGGAAGAGTTTATTAATAACATCGGTAGACCAAATGACTGTTGAAATTAATGTCTCGCAGGAATCCAATGACAACAATTAGAAACGGGCAGATAAGGATTTCCCTGATTGCATGAATGTTAATAGATCATTAATTATGAATATCAGATCCGGTGAGGCTCACTTTAACAGAAAAAAAGAAGTGATTTCAAATCACAGTCATAAAATTATTTCAATTGTATAAATTCAAACATCAATAAATTAAAAAAATAATTATGAACCTATCCTATTATGATTAACACCCTAATACTTAAGATACAACCAAATCAAATAAGAAAAACGAAATAATAACCATTTGAAGACAAATATAAATATTTACCTTATCATTTAAGCATTAATAAAAAAAAAAAAAAAAAAAAAAGAATTATTTATGTCAAAATTGAATACAATTTGCCAAGATCAAGAAAACACTAGAACGCTCAAGAATTAACAAAAAGAATGAATGTCACATACGCGCTGGAGGGTTGGGGTGAGCGAGAGCGAGTACGAACGCATGCACCCAGACACACACCAAAGCACACGCAAGGAATGGGAAAAATCAATCTTGCACCAATGAAAATTGCATATATGAAAGAAAACACGAGAAATGTGAATAGTCAATTCCTGATACCTCATGACGAGTGGACGGAATGATTGCTGAAGAGTTCGTTTATGAAACTCTGGAGTCGGGATACCAGTCAGCTAAGTGACAAACTTTATATTTGTATTAATCAAAGATAGATAGATAGATAGATAGATAGATAGATAGATAGATAGATAGATAGATAGATAGATAGATACGGACAGACTTATGGACAGTGTTATTTTGCGTAATTTAGATGACAATTTATGTATTGCACCCTGTAGATAGAAAGAAAAAAAGAAAGAAAGAAAGAAAGAGACTTATAGAGAGAGATGGATTGAAAAAGGAGCTGAGATAGATAGATAGATAGATAGATAGATAGATAGATAGATAGATAGGGAAAAGAAGTAAATAGAGTGATAGAGAGAGATGGATTGAGATGATCTGAGATAGATAGATAGATAGATAGATAGATAGATAGATAGATAGATAGATAGATAGTATCGATAACCCTTTAAGGAAATGGGATTGTTTTTATCATCAGAACGTTAAACTAATTAACCTTCTCAGACAGCAGATCTGTAGACGGTATTCTGATCGGAACTTAGAATCAGGTTTCCAATTTACCGCTTTCTCGATGGCAACAAAAACCAAAGTATCTGGTTGTCTCATTCGAGCGAAAATTCAGGAAGGAGAACCGATTCGAACGCGAACAGATAAATTGTCAATAACTGGAAAAGGAAAAAAAAACAGTGGATTTTCAAGATTTGTTTATGCGTGCCTCTGTTTTAAGCTTTATTCATACGAAAGAAAAATATATACTTGTCCATCGTCTGTTTTCTAGAATTCAGGGGGTTATTTTTTTTTTGCTTTCTATCGTTTTCTTAATCAGTGACAGATTTTTCGTTTTTCTTTTTTTCTATTGCCATTTTGAATAACATTGTTTTTTTTCTTTCCATCGATAGAATAAGGGAATTAGAGATCACTTATTCTATCATTTTGATTTTCGTTCAGTTATTTTTTTCTAACGTCGTGTTGAAAAATGTTTAATCCGTTCTGACGTCATCTCCATTACTGTTCTTGTTTTCTCCGGACATTCTTTTCAATCGTCATCTTGACTATTGTCAGTTTTTCTATCGTTATCTTCATTATTGTTCATTTTTTACTATTGTCATTTTCAATAGTGTTCGTTCTTTTTTTCTTTCTCTCCTTATTTTGACCATTATTCATTTTTTTTATACCGCCATCTTGAATACAGTTCTTCCATACGTCTTTCATTATTGTTCACTTTTTCCATTGTTATTTTTTTTTTACTGTTGTAATCTTATGATTTTTGTTATTTTTTCTGTTTTAATCATCTTTAGGCAATCTCTTTTCGTTCTTATTCAGGTGAAAGGTTTTCACCCGCTTCTGATTCTGTAGTTGGTTATATTTGCTTGATTTTTTTTTTGTGTGTGTGTGCGGGGGAGGCACTAACCTTTCGTTGACTCATAAGCTTCATTGTATCAACGTTTCATTACTTATTCCATCGCATCGATTTCTTTCTGCTTATTGTTTTAATTATATGGTATTGAAATTAAACAGTGAAAACTTTTTTATCAGGAGTTCATATTCGTGTTTCGTCATGATTACTGCATTTTACAAGTACATTTTTTTAACCTTTGTTTTGTTTCAGAAATAAAGCACATTCCTTTCATTTACCTCTCTCTCTCTCTCTCTCTCTCTCTCTCTCTCTCTCTCTCTCTCTCTCTCTCTGTATTAGGGTTTCCCCTGGCTTCCGCATGCTTTATGTCTACACTGGTCTTACTGATCGGATTTTTTTTAAGTTAGTCCATCGGAACCATTTTCTAAACAATCCGTGAGCTCCACTACAACTGTAATTATTGATGTCCTCATGTATCACATTTCTGAGATTTCCAATTCAAGATCCTTGTATTTTGATAGTTTTTGACGATCTTCGAAGATACATTACAGTCTGCATTAATTATTATTATTATTATTTGCATTTGCTTTGTATTGACCCCTAGTCTTAACGAGCGACTTCAAGAGGCCCCAAGTCTGTTGTTTTTTTCGAAAATACAATAAATAAGAAAGAAACAATTATCTAATTGTGGTCACTTCACGGAGAGAAATCTACGCAAGATGGCAGAAGCATCCAGGGGTATGAGCTTTCTGGTGTAGGTTCAAAAGTCGATAAAAAATCGTGATAACTTATGACGTAATCTCATCCAATATCAATGCACTTGCTGCTGCTCTCCGAATACATCTTTCCCATTAATGATGTTTGACTATGTACCTCCACTAATTCAGTAGACGTAAGGTTTAAAATTATATTTTTTAAAGTGAAAAAGTTTTATTAAAGCTTTAATTTTAGCTTTAAATCAAAGCTAAAGGATTTCAAATTTACTTTTCCAGTCAACAAAATACACTTTGGTGTATTTCAAACAGAAATAATATTGATCGGAATCGATTTTTGTTCAGTAAAATCGATAAAAATCGGCCAATTTTAAGCATTTGTAAAGAAAAGTTAATTCACGGTTTAAAAAACGAGCAAAAATATAATATATATTTCTGAAATATTATTTCAGAAGAATTAGTAAATTTAAAGTTAGATTAATCTAATTTGAAACAAGTATTACTCCAGCGTAGAAAACCGGAGCCGTATTGAAGACAACACATTTAGGGCAGACTACTATATAGACGAACTAAATACTATTGAAGACAACTCATATAGGAACGACTCCAGTGTAGAAGAACGGGGCGATATAGAAGGCAACTAACTCACGACAGATTCCTGCGTAGAAGAACTGAGCCGTGTTGAAGGCAAATAATCAAGGAAAAACTCGATGTAGAAGAACAAAGCCATATTGAAAACAATTCATCTAGGACAGACTCGATGTAGAGGAACAGAGCCGTATTGAAGGCAACTAATCTAGGAGAGACTCCTGTGTAGAAGAACAGGAACCGATTGAAAGCAACTCATCAGGAGAGAATCCTTTGTAGAACAGAAACGTATTGAAGGCAACTAATTTAGGACAGACTCATGTGAAGAACAAAGAAGTATTGAAGGCAAATCATATGGGAAAGATTTCTGTGTAGAAGAACAGAGATGTATTGAAAGCAACTCATCTCGGACAGGCTCATATGTAGAACAGAGACCTACTGAAGGCAACTCATCTAGTATGGCCTCCTGTGTAGAACAGAGGTGTATTGAAGGTAACATATCTAGGACAAACTCTCGTGAAGAACATTGGTGTATTGAAGGTAACTCATCAACGACAGACTCATGTGTAAAAAGACAGACATATTGAAGGCAACTTATCTCGGACAGGCTCCTGTGTAGAAGAGCAGAGCCCTATTAAAGGCAAATCATCTAGGACAGACTCGATGTAGAAGAACAAAGCCGTATTGAAGGCAAAGGACAGACTCTTGTGTAGAAAAATAGAGGCGTATTGAAAGCTTCTCGGACAGACTCCTGTGTAGAACTGAGCTGTATCAAGGACATAGTACAGGGAGGATCCATTCCCGGAGAATATATTTCTTGTTTAAAGTCAACCGATAATCTACACTTAATTCTCCTCGTCCGTCTATACAACAACCCCATTTTGTTACTCTCTACCTTGTCTGGCTCTCATGCCCTAAGCATAAACTAAGCTTTTATCTATCATGATTGATTGGTTATCCATCGAGATGACTCCTTGTCTTGAACGTATGTTGGGGTTTAATCACACCTAGGACCTTATGTAGAACACATATGTACTATCAGTAGCTATAGATGCTGGAAAATGCGTTTGTTCATTTTAGCGCTCCAATGAGTATGTCATTTCCACTACTACACTCTATTATTACAAGAGGCAGATGTAAACAGAAAATAGTGTATTCCTGCCATATCTGGGCTGGAGCTGCACAATCCTCACTTGCTTGTCTAGATAGGGTTCAAATGCGTCTACACCGCCTTGCAGTATTTTCCACCCTACAACCTCTTTCTCATAGACGAAACGTTGCAAGCCTCACGTTACTCTATCGCTATTTCCATGGCAAATGTTCTGACCTGATACATTCCTTCGTTTCACCATCCCCGACCTTTTCGACTGAGACCCACCATGCTATATGCACAAGGCTGAATCTTCTTCATTCCCTTCGTATTCCATTTGTAAGGAGGAAGTTCCACTCGGACAGCTTCTTCAGAAGAAATCTTGTTTTGTGAAGCAAACACCCGCTAGGTTGCTTTCAATATTACTATCATTTTGACCTCTTCAAGTCTAGGGTTAATCTTTCTTATATAACTTCCTTGTCTTTTCTTACAACCATACAACACACTCTACCTTGAAGTACTCTTGAGCCTTGTATTTTACGAATGTAAATAAATGCAAATGGCGCAGCCAATCGTATCCGATGATGCCAGTCTACCAGGACGGCTAGGTAATCCCCATTGCAAACGTCCGCTCAGGCACATTTGCGCTTGTTCAACACCCAGAGAGTCCACCTATTGTTTATATTGCAACTATGCTGAGCAGACCTTAGTTACAGTTTCTGGGAGAGAAGCATGTTATCTAGCGTGCTCAACGATCTGAACAAGACCAGAACGCTCAAACCCTTGTGACTTCGTGCTAGCAGACACACCGACGGCTCCTAAGCATTCCGTCTACATAATTTCACTGTCAAGGTTTGGTTCAAACCGTGATATGGTTTTCAGGCACTTTCTAAAGCTGCTGCACGCTGGTATAGATAACATCAAGAAGTCACCTTCCTGAAAAATCGACCATGGTGAGATTCGAACTCGGGAGTAACGGTCAGAAAGCGAACCTTCTAACCACTTAGTGAATACTAGCAGTAGAGCCCGATGTAGAGATAGATCAAGTATCGACCATCATAAAGACTGAAAAATAAAATTGACAAAGATTATTGTTTAAGGTTGACGGACATGCATGTCTTAATTAGTTTTTTTTTTTTTTTTTTTTTTTACGAATTGGTCAAACCCAAATTCAAACAAAAACATTGTTTTCAATCGTTATGAGTCTACCGATTGAATAGAATTTTATTATAAACAATTGTCTTGTAAATGGAATTTTTAAAGCATTCTGAATATAAAAATAAAGAAAAAAGTGTGCAAGACAATAAGAAACACTACCTGCCAAAAAAAGTGAAGTTTTGTTGAAATCGGTTGAAAAATGTAGGAAATCCGATCCCATATATAAACGAGCACACACACACCCAAACAACCTGGGTTTTATAATAAGTATAACTCGATATGAGCTGTCCCCCTTTCATTCTGGAGATGCCTCTTAATCGTGTTTTCAAATTGATTTCGTGCAAAAACAATTGTCTTTTTCCAATTTTTGGCGCTGTCAGAACCACCGTAAGGTAATTTTGTGTAGTCCTGTGAAGTTTTGTTGAAATCGGTTGAAAAATGTAGGAAATCTGATCCAATATATAAAAGTACACACACACACACACAATCCGCGTTTTATAATAAGTAAGATTAATAAATAAAAAAAGATCGTCCATTATTGAGTTTTTGTTAAATTGTGTCTCGATAAAAAGTAATCTTTATGGAATCCTACTTAAAATCTTTTAATGTCAAGATGGCAACTAATCATAACTGATATCATATCGTTAATCGCCCAGTGTAACAAGATCCGTGTCCCTACAGGAAGAAACCAATCTGAGGTTGAAATGTATACAACTGATTCTTCTTCCCGGTTTGTGAGGGCTCATTGTTGCACGTAAGCCTCTTCCTGATCGTAAGGAAGGAACAAGCCCTTACCTTACCGCGCCGACTTAATGAAGATGTGATACTCTCTTCCGCGATAATGTCTCTTTTCGATTCATGATCGCCCAACGTTATTTGCATAAGTGAAGGCAACGAACTGGTAATTGAACTCTGCTCTCCGATTTCTCATACCGAGTCGTTATCCGTTACACAACCCGAACATCCAAGCTTACAGCACCTGGTATTCCCAAAGCGGAGAATTTTAGAGAGAATTTCGCTGACTCAACGTGAACCGGTATTTCAACATGACATGCCGCTAATACATACCTTCCCAACACTATGGACCTGGCGGTCAACCACAACTAGATACATCCAACTGATGACCCTCCATGTCCACCACCAACTGGTTCCATTTAACGGAAAGCAGAAAAATGGAGCATAGAAGAGAATAAACATGTTCTTGAGGCCTGTTATTTTACCAGAATTTTAAAACAATGATCAGTCGTACCGAATTATTATTATTATTATTATTATTATTATTATTATTGTGTATGTTATGTTTCCTGCTTTGTATCCTGTTGTACCGGGTCCAAACTATGGTCCTTAGGCCCTATAGGAGAAATGCCATTTAATTGATAGCACTTTTCTTAGTATATGAGATGTTCCAAGTAGGACGATTTTCTGGTCACCTTGTATGTTGATGTTACCTGGGACACTGTTAGTAAAACTGTCAATTCTTTTCTCATGAGGCCCTGTGCTCCGATTACTATTGGTACAGTCTCAGTCTTCATTCCCGACATACTGTTAATATCGATCTCCAGGTCCTTGTATTTGGACAATTTCCCGATAATTTCCATGGAGGTGTTTCTCTCGCATGGTAGTGCTATGTCAATATAGCATACACTTCCTGAATTTCTTGCCTTTTAGGATAATATCAGGTCTGTTGGCTTTTATTTCCCCGTCAGTTTGAATTGATATGTCCCAGAGGATAGTTACATCGTTATTTTGGGTAACTATGTTTGGTTGGTGCTCTTACCATCTTTCAGTGGTTTCGATTTTGTGCTTCCTTCATATCTTCCAGTGCACATATGTCGCTACCTTGTTATGTCTGTGGGTATATTCATTTATTTCTACTTCCGGGCATTCTGAGATAATGTGGTCGACAGTTTCATTATGTTTTCCGCAGATCCTGCATTTCAGGTTAGTTCCATTCTTGATTACGTGACAGTGATAGAATCTGGTTGCGAGCCTTTGGTTCTGAGCTGCAATAATTAGGCCCTCTGTCTCAGCTTTCAGCCCGCTGCCCCTCAGATACTGACGTGTTTTCTGTTGGTCCGCATCTGCTTCTTTCGTTCGTTTTAGGTATTTGCCATGCAACGCCTTATTATTATTATTATTATTCAGTGAGCAGCGCACCAAGAGACTGATGTTGGGGGACAAATATATAGAAACAAATAGATCCATCGTGACATCGAATTAAGAGTCTACTAGGCTGTACGCGATATGGAGTACAGTTTTGATAAAATCAATGAGGAGCCAGTTAAAAATACTTTCAGTTCGTTAATAAGAGTAGACAGATTCGTCTATCGTCCGGTTCACACTCCTACCCGGTCTTTTGAACAGGAATAGAGGTTTATCCCTTGTTTACTGTTTGGGAATGATTCTCCGGTTCTTTTTAAAAATCTACTTCAACTCTACACTTCTAACGTCTAAGCACCCTAATATTATATACTACTTATTTGTTTAATCAATAGGAGCAGATACGTTCGCTTATCGCCCGTTTCACACTCCTCCTCTGGATTTTTGAACAGGGGTAGTTTATCTCTTGTTTATTGTTTGGAATTAGGTTTCCGCTCCCTTGTAAAATCTTTTTCATTCTCTTTTACTCCAAATAACTTCTTGCATCTTAGTGACATTATCGCATTTCTTGGAGGTGAATTGATTAACACAAATATATCCCAGTCGGCCTAGATTGAGGTTGTTCTAAAAAATCAGCGCTCCCATGATGCCTCAGCTGCCTCATCCATCAGACACGATAAAATAACTTTAAAAAAAAACTTGTTTTCACTTTTATTTTTCTGTTTTTGAGGAAGCAATTTAGTTACTTAAGTTCACCTAACTTTTGTCTGACTCGTCGTATGTCTGTTGGCTTACTGACCTCACTACTTCATACACGAGACGAATGAAGAATACAGATTCGTGTGGCTTTTTCTTCGTCGTCTACACGTAAATGAAAGTGTGTGTGCGCGTTTTTAAGGACAATGTAATTTGTTTTGCAAACTGTGCTTTCATAAATGATAGCAAATGTCCACCATCAGAAGTCTCCTTACCGGAAGTGACGCCATTTAAGTTTAGAGGTCAATACGCATAACTTTTACGTCTTATAAGATTTTATTGTGTATTTTATTTTATTTTTATTATTATTATTTTATTTTATTTATTTATTTTTATTGCTCTGGCAAATTTCAGACACCACATCCGACAACATCTCAGCCAAGGGGCAAAAATTGTTACGAAATAACACGCCACGTAGCCAGATAACTAGATTCAGAAAATGAATAAGAGTGATAAAAAATAGCTTCTTTGTTAATAAGATGAATGTTTTTTCTACGTCAGCTGCGAGGAAACGCCGTGATGGCGAAAGACGAAAGACGCTCAGAAGTCAATGGGCTCATGTGCGTTTTATCAAATACCTGCTGAACTAAAAACAATGTGTTTATCTCTATCAAATGCGTCATGCCAAAGGCCTGGATAAATGAGGTACAAGATAAGACCAACTAAATATCATCTCCCCCACAACTGCACACGTCTCGTCTATAAGCAAGTGATACGCATTAACAACATCTACAATAATAGTAATAATAATAATTATGCAGAAAACAGTGCATTTGACCATTTCAACACAAAATAAATGAACCTGCATTGTTAACGACTTTAAGAAAAAGACATTAGACTCTAAAACACGTGACAAGTCAAGGACGAAAGCTGGATCAAATGCAATCAAAAAAAAAAAAAACAAACACAACAGGGAGGGAACAATCACACTGAGAACTGTGCAAATAACTTGTGTTCGACTTTATAAAAAAAAAATAATTTCAGTACGATCTAAATGTTATCCTAACAAATATTTTAAGAATAAATTAACTCTAGATCTGTGAATACCAGGCCGACCGTATCATCCAGGCGAGACGACAATTGTATGAGCTGTATGGAAGAAAATGATGCCCACTGGATGAAGATAAAAAAAAAAGAAGGCGAAAAATTTGGAAAGTACCAGGAACTTCTTTGAGAACAGAAAAAAGTGTGAAAATACGAGGTTTAAAGTCATGCCTATAATAATAAGCGCACTTGGAACGCTGCCAATAACAACAGAAACTAGACGAGAGAAATTAAGAATTCGAGAAAGATTTTCGACTTATTACAGCATCGCTTGAGTCTGCGAGAATACTGATGGTTTTGCTTGAGATTTGAGGAGACTTCTTCGCTAGTCAATCTCCAGCAATAGCCAATAGCCCTCTATTGTGAATATGCAAATCCATACAATAATAATAATAATAAAAACTAAAGACGATCACACTCAGAACACTTAGAATTCGACTATCCGATAATTGTACTCCAGAAAACAATCATAGAATGGAAAAACCTTGTTCGTTATGCAACAACATGAGTTAAGTCAATTCAAAGAGAAACATCAGGATTTTTTTCAGAAGGTGGCAATTGTGCTGATACCCATTTGATATACGTTGCCCAATATAGGAAATAAGGTTTGATCTATGTGGGTAGAAGAACGGGAAAATTTAACAAAAGATTTCATAGCCAGAGTTATGGTATCGGACACGGCAATGTACAGAACTTTTCCGAACATTTTATCCGTAAGATACACAATGTGAAAAAATATCCAAATTCAACCGACCTTTCAACTCTTAAAACGCACGAAGATGATTAAACATGCAAATTACAAACGTCCCTTTACAGTGACTTGATCGCGGGCATATATATATATATATATATATATATATATATATATATATATATATATATATATGTGTGTGTGTGTGTGTGTGTGTGTGTATGTGTGTCTGTGTGTGTGTGTGTCTGTGTTGTGTGGGTGAAAATATATAGAAAATAGGAAAGAACTCGTTAGGTAAATAATCCAAATTTCTTTAGTATTTTTGTTATTATTTAAAAAAAAACAGTTCTCGATACAAAAGTAGAGCCTAAATATAATTATTTATTTAAAAATAGGATTCCATCGCTACATAAGACTTCTCATGTTTCAAAACAAGAGCCGAAAACTTCAATATAGTTATTTGAATTAAATTAAAGTTATATTGGAGTTTTCGGCTCTTGTTTTGAAACATGAACACTCTTATGTAGCGATTGAATCATATTTTTCAATAAATGATTATATATATATATATAATACATTACACACACACACACACACACACATATATATATATAAAAATATATATATATATATCCTGGTACAATGAGATATTGATCTTCCTATTGTTATTAAATAAAGAGATGCATTGATATAGATTGAAACACGACTGCAATTGTCGAGCGACCTTTAACATGTTTTCGGCGTAATATCCTAAAATAAATTTTATATATATATATATATATATATATATATATATATATATATATATATATATATGTAAGCAAATGTAAATGGATATAGATCCGACAGAATGAAGAAAAAATTTGGAAAAAACAAACAAAAATCATTAAATGCAATTATGTTGTTTAAAATTCATTTTAAACAACATAATTGCATTTAATGATTTTTGTTTGTTTTTTCCAAATTTTTCTTCATATATATATATATATATGCTAAGTGATGTAATTTAGTGGCTAATAAACGAAATTGAGTAAATGCTGTTATTGTTGTTGCTGAAGTTTGAATTTTCTTATTCTAATTCCAAAAGAGATTCATATTTCATGGAGGAACGCCACATTATGATTTTGCGAGAGAAAAATAGAAATGTAATGGCGGGGTTATTGCTCACCTTTTTATTTCGAAACTTTAGCAGAGTAAGACAGAAAGTTTGAGGTTCCATGTATCGTGATCGTGAATCCCGTGATCCATCAGGGTTGTAGGGGCACAACATCTCAGCCTGTTCACATCTATCTATCTATCTATCTATCTATCTATCTATCTATGCAATTCTGTTTCTATCTATCTCAACTTTTCCGTATCTATTTATCTATCTCACTGTTCATATCTATCTCAGCCTTTCCGTGTCTCTCTATCTCGCTAGCTATCCCATTCTGTTTATATCTATCTTATTCTGTTCCTATCTATCTATCTATCTTATTCTGTTCATATCAATCTATCTATTTCACTGTTCGTATGTATTTTGGTTAAAAATTTTTATTTTTCTTTCCTCAGCGGTGATCTTAAATTAGTATGTGAAATCTTTGCGTCTTTCTGCGGAGATAAATTCACTGATTTAGAAATTCTTGCAAGTTGTCGGATTTTAATGAAACTTTCAGAATTTAATCGCAAATGAATGAAATTAGTTTTTCAGTGTTTCTTTTTCACAAAGTATTTGTAAAAATATTTTATTTTCACATCTATTGACCCAATTTAATTCTATGAAATTTGGAAGAATCCATTTAAGTAGTATTTAATGTTTATATTAGATATAGGGACATGCCCTCACGTATGTATGTATATATGTATGTATCTATCTATCTATTTATCCATCTATTTTAGTCTCTACGTATGTATTTAATTATCTGTCAGTCTCTATCTATGTCAGTCTCTTTCTATCTATCTATCTATCTATCTATCTATCTATCTATCTATCTATCTATCTAAGCCTGTTCATCTCTATCTATCTATCTATCTATCTACCTATCTATCTATCAAAGCCTGTTCATATCTATCTATCTATCTATCTATCTATCTATCTATCTATCTATCTATCTATCTATCTATCTATGTTAGTCTCTACGTATATATCTTATTATCTGTCAGTCTCTGTCTATGTCAGTCTCTTCCTGGCTGTCTGTCTATCTATTTATCTATCTATCTATCTATCTATCTATCTATCTATCTATCTATCTATCTATCATTCAATTTATCTATCTATCTATCTATCTATCTATCTATCTATCTATCTATCTATGTCTGCCTATCTCTCTTTCTTTGTATATATATATATATATATATATATATATATATATATATATATATATATATATATATATATATATATATATATATATATACAGAGAGAGAGAGATTTTAATATATATCTATCTCGGTTTGTTTATATCTATTTACAAACTACTTTTTGTCCTGAAAAGTTATCAACCCAACCAAAAATGATTTCTAAGTGGGTTACGCTGGGAAACATTTAGCACCCTATTTGCTGGAGGCCCTTTGATTCGACCATAACTAATGGGAAACACCTCCGGTGTGACGCGAAAACTGTCGACCCGCTTTGTTCATCCCCTTGTCCCCAAAACCTGCAGATCCTTCCTCATTGGTCCGGGGACTTGGGGATGGGAAGTTGGGTCAGGGTTAAGGGACTGGTAGCTATCACTGAGGTCGTGGGAATATCTTGTTTACCCAAAAGTGGTCCTTAAGGGACTCTTTTATGTACAATGCCTACGAGGCGTCCCAGCATTATGAATTGAAAATGTGCATTCTCGCTTGATCGCCGATTGTTGTATTTATACAGAAAATAGGCAAGCCATGTCGCACAACGAATTTAACACTGGGTTGTTCTGTTTCTCGCCTTTTTTTCTTTTGGTTATATTTAGATCTTTTTTCAAGATTCTCACACCGACCACGGCTGTCCTTTCCACCATCTTTGTCAGTGAACCCCCGCCAACGGCAGCTAAAATCGCACCAAATTTATTTTGTAGTTTTCTGTTTTCTTTATTCATAAATAAACAATAATTTGTGATTATTTCTGCATTTTTAGGCCCTGGAATCATAAATATTTATATAGCAATGTTTCTGCCTTTTAATTTAAATAAGGAAATGTTGTACTTCGGTTTCTTTTCAGAAAGAAAGCGGTTTCGAAAGAGTTCTATCTATCTATCTATCTATCTATCTATCTATCTATCTATCTATCTATCTATCTATCTATCTATCACTCACTCAGTTTGTCTATCTGTCTCTCTGTCTGTCCGTCTGTCTGTCTGAGTTTGTTTATATCTATGTATGACAACCTGTTTCTGCCTTTTAATTTAAATAAGAAAATATTGTACTTAGATTTCTTTTTAGAAAGAAAGCGGTTTCGAAAGAGTTCTATCTATCTATCTATCTATCTATCTATCTATCTATCTATCTGTCTGTCTGTCTGTCTGTCTGTCTGTTTATATCTATGTATATCGATCTGTTTCTGCCTTTTAATTTAAATAAGGAAATATTGTACTTAGGTTTCTTTGCAGAAATAAAGCCGTTTCGAATAAGTTCTATCTATCTATCTATCTATCTATCTATCTATCTATCTATCTATCTATCTATCTCAGTCGTTTCAAATCTATCACAATCGTTTCATATCAATCTATTTATCTCAATCTTTTCATATTTTTTTTATCTCAGTCTGTTAAGTAATTTTTAATCTATATATCTATGTATCTATATCTATCTATCTATCTATCTATCTATCTGAGTCTGTTTATATCTATATATCTCAATCAGTTCATATCTATCTATCGCAATCTGTTCATATTTCTCTTTTCTTTCCCTGTTTCTTTTAGTTTTACGCCCCCCCTCTCTCTCTTTTTATATATATATATATATATATATATATATATATATATATATATATATATATATATATATATATATATATATATATATATACATTTTGTGTGTGTGTGTTTATTTTTATCATTTTACTCACAAGCAAGGCAATAAAGCCACTAAGACGCAAGGAGGGTTACTGAGTGTTAAGTAATATGAGAAAAAAAAACTATTAAGGAGAGACGAACAGAAATGAAGAAGACAAAGTATAAACATTGATATTTTCTTTGCCTTTTTAAATCGACGGGAAAGCAAAGAGACTGAAGAACGTTTCACAAACAGAAAGTTCAGAAGAAGAAACATTTAGCATCAAGATAAATATATTATTAATTTAAAAGTTATTTTTGGTGGATACCCATTTTTAAGTAGACGCTCCGTTTATTTTAAACAGTAGATTTCTTTCCGTCTACCGGTCTGAACATTTGAGAAATCACATTGAAGAAAAATACACCCTCCGTCAGGTTTGGTTTGGTTTGTTTTGTTTTATGGTATGTTAATCTCAATGGGTTATTTAATACCGAAAAGATTTTTTATTGCTGGTAATTTTTTTTTTTTCTAAAAATGTATTGCTGCTAATAATTTTTTTCTTCAAACATGTATTGGTGGTATTTTTTTTTTTTTTTCAAAAATGTATTGCTGGTAAGAAAAATTTCAAGAAATGTATTGCTGGTATTAAAACATATTTTTACACTTTAATGGTGTTTTGACCCCAGTTTGAGGATTAACTATTTGCCCAATACAGGGACCCTAACAGGTGCTACCACCCCAGATCAGGGGGGAACTGAATACACCAGCAATTCAGAGGTGTTTTCGCGCCTCTCAAAACCTACTGATCAGAGGCCTCGCTGCCGGATGTAGTTTATCGTCATACCAAAGACGCCCCTCCGTCAGGATTCAAATATTCATGACAGTAGATGAAAACAGATATACTATTTAAAAAATAAACAGAACGTCTATTCAAATATGAGTACCCAATAAAAATAACGTTTAAAACGAAAAAAATGACTGGGTAATGAATAGAAACCCATTTACTTCCTTTTTTTTTTTAAGTCCGCTTATTTTTAATACAAATTTAAAAAAAAAAAACCCAGAAATCTTCGTTTATTTTAAATATTAAATATAAATCCTGTCTATTTTAAATAATAATTCTTTTTATAATTTTGGCTCCGTCTATTTTAATACATATTTTTTAAAAAATACTATTGATCCCTGTTTATTTTGAATGTAAAATAAAATTTTAATCACTTTACTTTAAATATAAAATATAAATCCCGTCTATTCTAAATACATTTTTTTTTTAACCATTAATTGACATATAATATAGGGACTGCGCCGGAATGGCATCAACCAAAGATTTTTATTAAAATTTAAATTATGCAACGGCCAGTCTTTACTCAGCACCTGAACAGTTTTGTGTAATAAAAAATTAATTAAAAATATATATATTATATTATTATATATTAAAAATATATATATTATATATTATTTTTCCATGAACGGTTAATCTTGTCATGTTTTAATAAGATTTTAATATTGTTATACGAGATTACAATAAAAACATGTTAAAATCGTTACACAAAAGCTTTCATGTTTCAATACTTTGATTGTACTTCTTCAGGCGATGTTACTAAGATACTGAAGAGGTACAATCAAAGTATTGAAAAACATGAAACATGTAGCTTTTTAGTGTAGCGTTTCATTATAAGCTCTTATAATAAAATTATATATATATATATATATATATATATATATATATATATATATATATATATATATATATATATATTAAAGAAAAAGAAACCATAAACGTTTTTTTAGTTGTAATGTGGATTTTTTAAAAAATATGCTTTATGGAAAATAAAGCATAATATTTTTTTAAAATCTACATTATAACCAAAAACATTTGCAGTTTCTTTTCTTCTTTAATATACACACTTTTCTCTCGTTTGAACTACTATAACCTCTTCCTTATATATATATATATATATATATATATATATATATATATATATATATATATATATATATATATATATGTCTGGAAGTTCAAACAGAATTTGAATGAGAAGTTCCCAGGTCGCATCATCTCTCGAAACAGCGAAGTCAATTGGCCACCACGATCGTACGACTTGACGCCTTTAGATTTCTTCCTTTGGGATCATCTCAAAAGTAAAGTCTATTCCAACAAGCCAACAATTCAACAACTGAAGGATGAGATAGTAAGGCATATTGGTGAGATCGAGGAGCAACCATGCAGAGACGTCATCAAAAATGTTGACCCTCGAGTGGAGGTGTGCCGCCGAAGCTTTAGTAGATATTTAGGCGATATTATTTTTCACACATAATTGCCATGACTTAAATAACATGATCCAATAAAGAAATAAAGAAATTTTCACTAATGCAAGTCACAACTAACAAGCATTAAGTTAAAAATTACATTCAAATACGACAGCACTCCTTCACATTTTATAAAACTATTACCCAGCCCCCATAAAAAATCCAGTAGTACCTGTTTTCAATACCAACGTCACGTTGAATTCTGCCATCGTGAACGCGATGTACAGAATGAAAGAGAATTACTTGATCCGGATATATCGATTCCGATATCGAACTCGAGGCTGAGAGTGCTTTTATTGAAATGCTTTCATCTTTTATTCGAAACTAAACATTTCTTCGGTTTTTTCTTTTTTTTTTTTTTTTTAGAAAATATACTAAATCTGTCTAATGGATATATTTATACATACATACATACATAAATGAAAAGATTAATTCACACACAGACACAAACACTTAAAAACACATACATGATCTCTGTCTATTTTATTTCGAGCATGGCAACCTTCTTAAACTTTGTGTTGCTTGATGAATGGCTTCCGAGACTTGGATTTTTTTTTTTTTTTTGGCAACAAATAGGCAAAGCGAAATGCAGGTTTGCGCAGACCTTACTGCAAAATATTTCTACCATAGGAACGAAGATGACTTTTCAAACCAACCTATGATTTCATCCTACGCAAGGCAATAAAGCCACTAAGACGACCACGTGTATATGAGATCTACGTGCAAATGTTGCCCGAGCCTACTGGCTTTGTGTCACATCCCGCCTTGTCGGAAGTCTCGTGTAAATACCGAGGAGTCAACGATTATAGTTAACTCTGCTTGCCGACTCTCTGGGCGGAGAGGAATCCAAAAGAGGTTACGCCGAAGGGCAGAGTCTTGTCTGGGGAGATAGACAACTACCCGACCCCGTGCATATAGGATCTACTTGTAAATACCGACGAGTTAATTATTACAGTTAACTCTAGTTGTTGACACTTCGCCTTTGGTCCGGAGAGGAATCCAGAAGATGTTATGCCGAAGAACAGAATCATGTCTAGGGAGGTAGACAGCTACTTGACCCTGTGTATACGGGATCTGCGTGCAAATTTTGCCCGAGCCTACGGGCTCGGAACGCTCCATGTGAAAAAACAACGGCCTTGTTCTACATCCGCCTTGTGTGTATGGGGGGGGGTCTCGGGAAATACTATTATTCTCTGGAATAAACTACTTACTCTCTATATTTGTGCCAACATTTCCTATTTACGACACAACAATAAGTCAACAATAAGCACTAAACTTGAAGACTTGACTTCTTCAAGTTAACTGTCATCTTTCCTAAATAAGTTCATGAACGATACCTTTTGTATTTTCTTACGCAAAATTGGCCATCTACTTCAATTGCTCTTATGGCTTGTATTGGGTGAACTTTAGTATTCAAAAACAATTAGTTATGTATAACTTCTCGATAAACTTGGATCTTCGTTCACATAAACAACGTAGGGACGATTTTTCCATTGACACCGCTATTATTTTAACTACCTTCACTCCCCGGCTATATTTATTATTTTAAAAAGAGATGATTAGAATTTTAATAAAATCTAATTATATGATGAAAGTAAATTTATACATGTGTTGGTTCTTGTGAATTTACAAAAAAAATATTAAACACTAATAATAATTTTATATTTGTAACAGTCAATACAATTAAAACGAATGCAATGCAATATTTATCATTCACCAATTTACAAAGAAGTAAATATGAAAATAATTTTTATTCATATATTTATAAACATTTACTAAATTATTAAAACATGTGAACTATAAGGAAATCCTTATTGTTTACTGTTTTATAAAGTTCGAATCGATTAGCCAATATTTTGTTAACTATTCCAATAAACAATATAATAAATAGTGTAAATAAACAATGTAATAAATAATGTTTATTATCTCTGTTTTTATTTTTATTTTCAAGAACAAAGAAAATGTATAAATTAAGTTTCATATGTTTTAGTTTTATTGCAATTGTAATTATCGCCATAAAACCATCGACATTGCTGAGGGAGTGAAAGTAGTTAAAAGCATAGCGGTGTCAATGGAAAAAGCGTCCTTACGACACTTCGTTCTCTTTGCGGGCATAATGGTCCAAGTTTGTCAATTTCTCTATACTCGGGAAATTCAACACTAGATGACTATTTCCCAGACAGTCCTCAGAAGAAGAAAAAAAATTTGTACCGACGCAAAAAAAACATGTAAAAGAATCGAGAAGCATTTCTTGTTTTGATATTCATCTATTATATTTGTAAAAAAAATTCAGCATTTGTGTGTGTGTGTAAAAAGCGGCTTTACTGTGTAATCAGTCTGTTGCACAATGGAACCTCAATTTAACGGATTAATAGGACTTTACAGTCCGTTAAATCCGTTTGTCCGTTAATTTGAAATATTTTTTTCTCGTGGCCTATAAACACAAAAATACAGTACAAAATTATTGTAAATAAATGTAACTACAGTATATATGTATGTGTATTTTATTTTTAAGTTTCTATATACCTTTAAATAAAATTTGAAAAGTTTTGAAGTTCAATCGGGAGTCCGTTGGTTCCGGGTCTGTTAATTCGAGCTTTTACTGTATTGAGAAAAG